CCGCTAGTAGGTACTCCTATATAGATCGAGAAGGAAATATTGCGAAGTGGACCCGTACGATGCATATGTGTTTGAAGAAGAGGGCAATTAATTCATTCCAATTAGCTATGCTTTTGATTTAAAATCAGTCTGCAGATGTATTTCATGGTGTGTTTAGATATAATTTGAGTTGAATCATTTGTTTGGATATTCATTGTAATTGCAAATTGCTCATTGAATTTGGACTAAAACATTATTTAGGTTACTGTGTTTAGATATAATTTGAGTTGAATCATTTGTTTGGATATTCATTGTAATTGCAAATTGCTCATTGAATTTGGACTAAAACATTATTTAGGTTACTGTGTTTAGATATAATTTGAGTTGAATCATTTGTTTGGATATTCATTGTAATTGCAAATTGCTCATTGAATTTGGACTAAAACATTATTTAGGTTACTGTGTTTAGATATAATTTGAGTTGAATCATTTGTTTGGATATTCATTGTAATTGCAAATTGCTCATTGAATTTGGACTAAAACATTATTTAGGTTACTGTGTTTAGATATAATTTGAGTTGAATCATTTGTTTGGATATTCATTGTAATTGCAAATTGCTCATTGAATTTGGATTAAAACATTATTTAGGTTACTGTGTTTAGATATAATTTGAGTTGAATCATTTGTTTGGATATTCATTGTAATTGCAAATTGCTCATTGAATTTGGACTAAAACATTATTTAGGTTACTGTGAACTTATTCAAAGAAATTCTGGACAATGCCATTTTGAAATATTAACACTGTATGTAAATCAGTACATTCAAATCTTGGAATTCATTCGGAACACTATTCTTTTATACCTATCATGGAAGTGTTTAAGATTATTGATTTAACTCACGATTCTGAAAATTCCTCTTAAAAGTTTAATTTTATAACTTATGAAATTAAATTATTTGTTAACTGTTTCAAAATTTAATGGTTGTTGCTTCTTTCTGTTGCTTAGTCTAAAACATAGAGTCGTAACAGTTATTCCAATCTGATTAATAATTTAGGATTAAGTTCAAACTTAATTTAAATGTACATAATACCTCCACTCATAAGAAAGGGAAAGATTTAGGCAAGAAAGCTTTATTTCACACATAAGTCAAATATACTTATGGTACTATTAAAATTACAATAACAGAAAGAGTCTTATGAATGACACAACATATACACAATATAAAGTAATATTGTATATCTATACACATGAAAATGCATCTGCAATAGAATTATCGTTTACTGTGAAAATGGAACCTTGAGGGAATTGTGACATTATGGGAAAAAATTAGAAACGAAGTCCTAAGGGCGGAAATGGTGGCATTATTCTATCGCTATAATAATGATATCACTTCCAAAACATTTGTTAAACCAATTGTTATTGTTTTAGTTGCTATTGGTTTTTTCTTCTCATTATAGTTATTATTATTATTAATAATAATATTGTGTCGTTTAAATAGTTTTTGTTAATTTTTGTATTGCTATTATTTTCCTTGTCATAATCAATAGACTTCCATACAGCTTTATAATTCAATGTTAGTATGAACCCTCGTTTCTTGCATGTTTCATGTGTCAAACAGGAGTCGCACTGTATGCATCGAAACCTGTTCCTTGTACTGAAATTCACTAAGTTGAACAACATTTTCCAAGTAAGGTGCATATTCTGTGTTGAACATAAAGTCTAGGCTACAAGTTATCTTTGGGTTACAGGTCACTCTCCAAGTGGTAAATAATATTCATCTCTAATTACGCGCCGGAGGTTAACATATAATTTGATCTAATAAATATGTGAAGAATACAAGTTGTCCAATGGTGCGCGTCATAAGAATATGCCATTATTATACGTTATTTGACATGATTTGAACTAAATCTCAGCTTTGAACATTGTGAAGACTACAAACTTTGGGACATCCATTTTATATCATACATTGTTCATTATTTGAGCATTGTAGCATCGTAAAGCCTCAAACGTAATGACTACATCCTCCTCCTAGCTCATAAAACTCACTATCTGAATCGTTAGGATACCGAAATGAAGTTTTTTTTAGGATACCGGAGATCGACTTATTTTTAATTACTATTACCTATGGCATCTCTTTAAATTTTATTAACAACGAGTTGTAATCTAATCTTGAAGAACTTTAGGTAATATGTGTCCTTCAGACAGTAACATTTGTTTGCAGTCTCTCTCTCTCTCTCTCTCTCTCTCTCTCTCTCTCTCTCTCTCTCTCTCTCTCTCTCTCTCTCTCTCTCTCTCTCTCTCTCTCTCTCTCTCATATGCTTAAAGTGACAAAGTTCAAAACTTCATGCTCAGTTCCAATGAGGCTTCAAATGTAGCTGGTTAGTGATTTACTGTGTATCTTACTTCCATAGCTCATGTTTAGCGGCAGGGAGAGTGAATCCTACACCATTTTACTCGAGCTCTTTACCTACAAAAGGTTCCTATAAATGGCTGAAAAAATAAGGTCAATAACGATAAACCGAAGTCTCTAACTTGTCTATTTCTATACGGTTAAAAATAGGTTAGGTTAGCTCAGTTTTGTTACCCTATTGTTGACGTTTACCTTTCACAATTTCGTTTATTTGCGAACCAGCACTCAAATTTTTCTGTTCACCCTCCCTGCTGCTATAAACTAACCAAAGATTTTATCCAGACCAGATCAGTTTTGTTAACCAAAATATATTGTCATAAAAATAAATAAATTTTAAAATATTTTTTTCTCCTAATGATAATATTTATTCTACGAGCGTACGAACAAATTAATATATAAGGTCTCTCCTCTAAGGTTTACAATATTGCCGTCCTTAGTCGTGAGTTTGAAATTCATTCTTGACAATAATGGATTATTTACACGCAGAAAGACTTGATTTTTGGATCAGATACAATGAAACACCCGGGTGGCGCTTGAATACTGGATGAATATAATATATCCTTACTGGGCTTTGTTAAACTCTGAAAGATCTAAGTGGTAACTATTATATCAATTATATCGCATACCAGACTCACTGCGATTATTGATGTTATATTAACAATATTAGGTGAAATATGACGACCTGCGCCAAATTGGTCATTCTTATATCTGAGAACTGTTGGAGGCGGGATAAATTTTTTTCCATGAATCACATATTCGTTTAAAGTGTTCGTCAATAACTGATTTCTTTATCTCTTCAGAGTTAAATCCAGGAAATTATAAATGTTGGTAATTGTTGTGCTTTTATTTTATAATGTTTCACAAATAATCTTGGTGATGTATAATTAATGAAAAATTAATAATAGTTTTATTAATAAGATCAAGGACTGCTGCATCTGTGTTTAAATGATGAATTGTTTCGATTATTTGTCGTTTCATATCCTCTGAGTAATATTGATACAGAAGAAAATAAAATTTTAAATTATCATAAACATTTAAAAATTCAGTTTTTACATCATCTGAATATGTTTGAAAGAAATCTTCATTAACGGGAATATCTGTACCTGTAAATAGTGCTTGAATTTCCATATTAAGTGTTGTAATATATTTTATTCTGAAATAACCATGATTTCTTTCGAGTTTTTTTAATATTCTGGTTGCTTTAAAAATATTCATTTATCAGTTTTAAACTTGATTTTTGGCGCTGGTGAACCCTAATAAGCTGGTGAAACTTCAGGCCAACCTCGTACTGATCTAATCAATCATTTATAAATATCTATAGCATAATCAGGAGAATTTATTTCAATCACCGATGTTAATATTGGCTCGTAAACAGTAATTGCTATTTTGTAATCTTTTCTAGTAATCGATTTTATTCTGCGTTGCAATTCTTCATTGGTTTGCTCTATTTGATAACTACCAGTTGAAGTACTAACTACTTGCCTATCGGGAGTTCCATCAGGTTTATTCTTATATGCAGATACTAATGAATTATTTGGCTGTAGTCCACCAAATGGTTTTGATCTAATGTTGGGCCAGCTATAATAAATACGCAATTGTGGCTAATTTTATTTCTTTTACTGGGATTGTGATTGTAAAGCTAACGCTAAATTCAGGATTGATCGAACTTATTGATATCTTTGGAGTTTTTGACGGAGTTGTATTAGTGACGATCTGCTATAAAAACTCTCTCGACTCAATCACCGAACGTATTCAGACGCTGACATTATTATTATTATTATTATTAGTAGTAGTAGTAGTAGTAGTAGTAGTAGTAGTAGTAGTAGCAGTAGAATTGTTGTTGTTATTGTTGTTGTTTAATTCTACATTTTTCATTCTGGTTATTGTCACCAGAATCACTAACGATTTTGAATGCTTCATCGTAGGTAGTCATTACCGTTGCGAAGTCCTCGTCAGATATTTTATCATCACTGAGATACATCGAAACATACCCATATAATTTAGAATAGGTTGCTGTTGCTGTGTGTAGTTTTTTCATATGCTCACGCAATTTATCATTTTACTGTGAATACATGCGATAGTCGTTGAAGTTGAAACAATAATTTGTACTATTGCTGCAATTGTAATTGTTAACGTTGATAATATTAATCCAGCTCAAGCAACAAGACCAGAAACTGAGTAAACAACTATAGCAATGACAACCATACCTCTGCGATATTGTTTTACTTTTACTGTATAATTATCGATGGTATTTTTAGTTCGGTCAGACATTCACATGCTTGATTATATCTGTGAAGCTTTTTTGAACGTCGATAGATGACGGAGTCATTTGATTCAATATTCTATGACGTTAATTAATTGTGATGTAATGTGATGTTACTATCAGTTTTAACGTAGCTTTTAACAATATTTCAGTCATATCGATACGATGTCTACAGTGTGCTAGTTTATAGTGATGTCTAGCACAAGGGGAATCATGCCGCAGACATGTAGCATGTTGTCCCACATAGTCACATTATCCTGACACCATGCCACCAGTCCTAACACTTACCTTTTAATGCTGAGCGTCAAGAGAGACAGCTGTTAGTACCATTTTTGTAAGTCTTTGGCATGATCCTACCGGGGATCAAATCCACAACCTTCCGCGATCGAGGCGGACGCTCTAACCACCAAGCCACCGGAGCGTGTAATTAATTGATGAGTTTTATTATTAATTCCAGACACCACCAGTAATTAGCTGAGGCCATACTTCTATCCGATGATTCTAGCTTAAATATTTCCTCAGAACTTTTACCTAACATTACATATACAGTTCTAGAAAAAATACCCGTTGATAGAAATGTGGTAAATATTCTAAATTCTGCACCGCTAAGTAAGGACAGCCTATATATACCAAAGACTTCCGCAGTGAGTTTTTTTTTAGTGTCCATGTGTCAGATCAAGATGTAACTGTATACACGATATTTTTATCTGATTGTGAGGAATTTTAATAGGATTCGTTTCTTGAACGATATCAGGAATTTTACTGATAATATCGTTGAGTCTTGTATTAATACGGCGAGTTTTATGTGAACAGTTGGATGATTCCCAAAACAATTCGTTAGTAATTATCTTTATGTTTTTGAGAAAATTTAAAAACCTGTTCACGTGACTCATGAAATCAGTTTTGAGTGTGGTCATATCATTGTTGATCGTTGTTAAAGAAGTTGTTATTGGAACTTCCTTATCATCGACGTAATTTTCCTTTGCAGCATCAAACTCAAATTCTGGTGTTCTGAGATTATTAATGCCATTATTTTTCCTGTTGAGAAAAGCACGCGCATTATACCACCGTTGGTTATTGCGTTCTTAGATTCTTGATCGTCGACGTATTTCCTCGTTGCATCATAATTAACTGCGGTTGGATTTCCATGACCTGTAATTTTATTTCTATTAATAATAATATAATAGTAAGGGAAAAGGCTGATTTCAGCCCAACGACCCCTATCCCCACACCCTCCAGACCTCCAAACAAATACAAAATGATCACTTCTCTCTGTTCTAAACTCTCACCCCCAATGATATATACATACAATTGTAAAGCAGATCCTAGCTCATAACATGTATACCTTACTTGGTAACATCAGTTATCTAATCAATATCATATATAGAACCAGCCAAGCTAGAACATGTATACCTTACTTGATAACATCTACTACCTGATCAATATCATCGTATAGAGCATAGTCAAGTTTTAAAAACCCAACCCCTACACAAAATCCAAAGTCAAATATTCTTTAACTACACAAAAAACTGGTCAAGTGGCAGATGTATTTTTTAAGGAAAAGGAGGATGTGAGCTCAAATATCTTTTTTTCACACCCTCCAATCCTTCAAACAAATACAAATTACCTCTATGAGAGACCTTAAAATCCCAACCCCTACACAAAATCTAAAGTCTATAACTATACAAAATACCGAGGTAATTTAATCAATAATCACGCTTAGATCCAAGCTATAGAACACCTGTTGCAAAATACCTAGGTAACGTAATCAATAATTGCGCGAAGAACTAAGTTATGTAACAGATGTTAATAATTATATGGAGACCGAGCCAAGTAAAATGTTTTAGTAGTGTTATATATGTCATACGGAGATCACGTGATTAGAAGGAATGTTCTCGACTAATGCAATACTGTAATGCTCACACGTGATTGGAAGTTTCTATAGCATGAAATACTCTAATACGCATGCGCAAACGCCTGTATCAAAGACAGGTACACGTCTAATCACGCAGTTTGAGAGAGCGCTTCATCAGATAACAGCTATACTGAGCGGACATTTACAAGGCGCAAGGGTAAGTACATTATTTATATTTCATCACCAATGATTAATGTTTCAACTGCTGACATTAAAAATACTTCATTATCCCGATGATAGACACTAAACTTTACTTTACCACTCACACAACGACGAGATTCCAACAAATCTTTTATTTGTGGCTTGTTTAGAGGATATTTGTTGTCGATAAAATATACCTTTGACCGATCGAGATCAATTGTAAGTTTATTATATTTTTGTTGGCTAATAGGACTATGAAAGTTTTTAAATTCCGCTAGTAACCTTTGATACAATTGTTAGAGATAATTAAAATACTCGCTGTCATCAGATCTGACGAGCGAAAGTCTTAGCTTATCACGTGTTCCACTAAAACATATTCCTGATGTTTCATTATTGATTTCAACTGTCAATTCTTTGCCATCCATCATTAGATATTTAATCCTGCTACTGTAGCTATTTGTCACTGTCAAATTTTCAAACATTATTTCTTAAGATTAGATAAAATTTCAGTTGGAAAAGATAATGTCAAGTATAGATCTATCATCATGACAATACCCTAGTGCAAGTGTGTCTACTCCATTTTCGCAATAACGCTTATCATCAAAATTACTCAATCCGCGTTTGATAATGACATCTGTTTCTAGCTTATGATGATTAGTCCGAATTACCAAAACTCTCATAAAACTAATAAACTTTTTAATAAAATCACGAGGCAGACCTTTGCTTTTTTCGTTATTTTATTATTGTCTAATAATACGGCATACATTTTGCTACGTAATCCGATAAAATATTTGATAGCGCTCGAGTTCATTTCATCTTTGAACTTGCCAATCACCTTTTATTTGTGTCGTCATGAAATTTACTGTCACGTGGGTAATCAGAAAGATCAAACAGATGTCGATTATTATACATGTCCTAATAGATGTCCTCGCATTCGATTTCATACACGAGTGAATCAGTATCAGTAAACAATAATCTACTGGCCGCACATTGCATTTTAACACAATTATAATGAAAATCGTACATCAGCCACTTTGATAAATCCAACACTGCAGCTCCAACTTAGATCGGCTTGTTTAGTTTTAGATTTATTTTTCTTCTTTGTATCGCAACAAGATTCTCATTAAAAATTTTCATGCTCAAAAAATCATCGTCTGACACAAGTTTGTTTCTACGATTGATATCATTAACTAGTTCGATATTTACGCGTTTCCTAATATTCTCCATCGTCTTACCAAAAACGGAATTGTTCACCAGTTTAAAGAAGTTTTTCTCAAAATCAGTTTTTGCTGCAGCTCTTCTTAAAGTGTTCTAGTTAATATAACCTCTCATCCACGGCGACTGATTAAATTTTAGTACGCGATGAACTTTTCTCAACACAAGACCAGCATCGACTGCTTGTTTTAAAATTTTGTAATGCAAAACATAATGACGTTTATGAAAAAAAATTTGGTACTAGTTTTTTGACCATGGAATGTTGTCTTGGTGATGCTAACGCTTGCTGTTCTTTTGATAACACACTATAATAAATAACATCGATTCCGCGCAGAAAGGGTAATCGTTAAGCAATTTGTGTAGCCAAGTTGGATAATCAAGATCAACTTCAACGAAATAGGAAAGATCTTCAAGCATCATTTTTTCTCTTTCAGATAGAAATCGACCAGCCGTGATCCAGTGAAATCCACCAAGAGGCATTGGTTCTATCATTGAACTACCATAAAGATTATTGAAATCCAGATAAACTATATACTTCGAGTGAAGCTCAGGGTTATACTTTTTCAAATATTTGTTGTTTGCTTCAGCATATTTTTTTGTTATCACGCTAATACCGCCTCTGATACCTTTTTCGATAAAATTGAACATATCAACGTCAGTCAGTAATTCTAACCTTACCTTACTAAGCCTTAGCAGAGCATCCCATGACAACCCAGGGGCAGTATAATACCAACAAGGATCTAATCCGTAATTATTATAACATACTTCTCAAAAACTTTCAAAAACATCTGCTAATAATAACACGTCGGTTTTCAGGTATAAATCATGATAATCACCAAAAGTCTCACAATCAATCTCTTTCCATATATCTTGTGCATACTTGTACTCGTCATCGGTAATATTTTCATTTTTAAGTTGTGAGTAAAATTTATCTTTGTCAGGTAAAGATGTTTCATCAAATTTACTCCAGTCGTCGAGATATTCGTATGGAAAAACTCCTTTTTTAGCTAGTAGATTAAATTTATCTCCAAAACAGTCTCTTAGGTTATGAAATTTACTACAACCTTTTACTAGCTCATCTAACGAGGCTGACATAAACTGCAGGCTGTCAATAAAACGCAATTTACCTAGCGTAACTGACATATACTTTTCAAAATTATTTGGAATGCATTTGATGTGGTTATCGAGTTTTAGACGAGCTTTTATCTCAGGATCACCAAAAGCTTCCACGATAATATGGCTATCATATCCTCGAAAATTATGAAGAATAACTGGAATAAAATCTGGAGCATGAAATTTTAAATTACACTGATTATGAGCCGCTCCACGGTACTGTCCGGTCAAATGGCAATGGTCATGTGCTTATTTGTTATCGTGAAAAGCTTTTTCACAAATATGACGAATTTCTGCTTGCTCGTGATCAGATTCTTGTTGAGGTGTTAATTTTAACATTGGTGTTACTTTTTTCAAACGATAAGAAATATTATCAACTTCGTTAATCAACTGCTTGAGAAGCCAGACAGCTGGATTTTTTCAACGATAGTATTGGATTAGTTTAGATAATCTAGAATCAGTACAACAAACTACCTTGTAAGCTACTCCACATGGAACATGATTTTGAACTTTTCATGTACTCGATTGATTAGGATTATTTTCTACGCCAAGTACAGGTTGAAGAAAACATTCGAAATCAGCGTATATAGCGAAAGGAGTTTTTAGTTTATGATTATGATGGACAAACTGTAACACACTATCTTTTTTAGATGGCATTGTTATTCTTTGTACATCACTACAATACTGCAAATGTTTTTGCAATTTTTCATGGTCATTACAACCGTGCAAGCAGCGATAATAAAAGAACGTTTTCTTTTTTCGTTTATTGTACTGTCCACCAACTAGTCCATGAAAGTTTTTGATCCAAACATAATGATTTTTATAAAACAGTAAATTGATAGTCGATTGTGAAGCTTTTTCTGAAATATATTTTGGATAGACCTTTTCTTTTTCATCTAATCCGAAAACCTTAATCGAAATATTATTTTTCTATTCAAATTTTGGTATTTGATTTTCTGCCACTGGAAAATCAATACAAGCACAATTGAATCTTGACACCGGACTGATATACTTCTCAACGCCATCAGCGTGTTTTT